CCTGTAAGCTTAAAAACTAGTCAGTATGAAATTTGTATTTTTTTGAAGAGCATTTAAAAAAAATCTCAGTCATTTGGAGATAGAGGAGAGTGCTTTAGAAGTGGTCGTATCTATCTGAGGTAAGGAGCAGTAAACCACTGGGACATTACCAGAAACTTTCCTGTGTTCTAGGTTAATAATTACAGTTACCTTGGAAGTACAGGGCAATTTATAAGAATTTTTTTTGGGGGAAAGAAGCATATAACCTTGTGAAAAGGACTGAGGATGGTGTACACTGAATCAGTCTTTGTTATCTGTCCTTTATGTAGTAGGGCTAGTGGGGATGTGGGTCAGGGTGAGTCCAAGCACACCAGAGTCTGCATGAGCTGATGCATAAGTTGAATTATAAGCACTTGTGTTTTGCATAAGGGAGGTGGCAAAATTGTTTAAATTAACCAGTCTGGAACTAGATAAATAAGGGTTGAATTTTCTTTCTTCCTATTTTTCATCAGGCGCATGTGATAATAGTAGTGGTAGTGATGAGGGTGATTTGTCTCAGAAATGCAATTAGGTTTGACACAATATCCTACTTTTTAGAAGTGAGCAAGTTAGAAACAAACACTTCTTTATGTGATCAAAATTTATCTTGACTGCTGTATTGGTGTGATTTGCATCTAGAATGACACAGAAGGCATTTTACCTGTATTTTCATTCTCCAATGGCAGCAGAAAAGCAGAATGTTAAGAAGGGATTAAGCTTGCTTTGGGTATCTAGGAGGATGACATATTAAAATGTCTGCTCTCCCATTTTGACAGATAAAAACACTGATTGTTTGATTTGGAGATCATGTAAACTTCCTCAGGTTCATGGTTAATCTTTCTTAAATTTTGAGTTTTTAGGACAAAGAGACTGGCTTTCACAGAGGTATGGGTTGGGTTCAGTTTTCTTCAGAAGAAGAACTTCAGAATGTACTACAACATGAAAATCACATTATCGATGGAGTAAAGGTAATACTTTCCTATGTATCATGAGCTTTCAGAAGTGTGGAATGACAAGGACTTCAGGAAGTTTGTAACTGAAGTTGCTTTAATGTTTGCTAAAGAATGGTGGGGGTGGTAGAATGTCCAGTTCTAAGAGGTCTGGGGAGGGAAGTCCAGGAAGACTACTGATTAGCACGGTATATGCAACATGGAACAGTGGGAGTAGCAGTCTACTTACAAGTCAGGACACCTGGGGTTGAAATCCTGGCTTTTCCACTTACTATGTGACCTTGGGTCACACTGATTTACAATTTTTAACAGGTTCAGGGACTCTCTTAACGAGGAACAAATAATATTCTCTCGACTTATTGATGCTGACTCCCTAATAAAAAGGCTGTCTTAAAGTGGCGATTTTCAGTTTGACTGTTTTTACAGACACTGCCTTTCCTTATAGTGTTGTTTTTTTTTCCAGCTCCATGTTCAAGCTCAAAAACCAAGAATTTTGCAAGAGGATCAAACATGTGATGAAGAGAAAGATTTTTAAGATTATTGCCTATTAAATAAACAAAACTGAATATTATGTCTAAATGTTTTTATTTGAAAACAAATAGTTGCACCAAGCAAGAGCTTACTTTCCCCACTCCAAATTAAAACCACACAGTAGGGGCAAACATCATTTGGCAGGACAGTTCCAGTATGTGAACATCCTATTCACTGTGACTGGGGAAACTTCAGTCTTAAGCAGTTGTTCGTACACAAAATATTAACCCCAAAGTGCTAATATCACACAAAAGGAAGTGGTCTTAATTTCATTTGTGGGGTAGGTATGTTCTATAAATGCCAAAAGGTGGGAGAAGCATAAACACAACCCACTCTTTAGAAAAAACTAAATAGTTCAAAGAATTCTCCATCCCCCCATCTCCCGTAATAAAAAGTAGTGCCTGGGGTCTAACACCCAGATTTTGGTTTTTATCCTGACCATTTACAAAATGTTCCCCCACATGACTTGCATCATTAGAGAGTAGTTCATTCACT